TAAAAAGCAGAGAGAAACCATACAAATCAGCAGAATCAGAAAGGAAAATGGGGACATAACTACAGACACTGAGGAAATCCAAACGATTATTAGGTCATACTACAAAAGCCTATATGGCACAAAATTTGAAAATCTAAATGAAATGGATAACTTTCTTGACAGATTCCATCTACCAAAATTAAGTCAAGATCAGGTAGAAAGACTGAATAGTCCTATATCTCCCAAGGAAATAGAAGCAGTCATTAACAGTCTCCCCTCCAAAAAAAGCCCTGGACCAGATGGCTTCAGCGCAGAATTCTACAAGACCTTCAAAGAAGTACTAACACCAATTCTCCTCAAACTATTCCATAAAATAGAAACAGAAGGAACACTACCAAACTCATTCTATGAAGCCACAGTCACTTTGATACCTAAACCACACAAAGATCCAACAAAAAAAGAGAACTTCAGACCTATCTCTCTTATGAACATTGATGCAAAAATACTCAATAAAATACTTGCAAACCGAATCCAAGAACACATCAAAGATATCATCCACCATGATCAAGTAGGCTTCATCCCAGGAATGCAAGGGTGGTTCAACATACGGAAATCCATCAATGTAATCCACCACATAAACAAAATGAAGGAGAAAAACCACATGATCATCTCCTTAGATGCTGAAAAAGCATTTGACAAAGTCCAGCACCCATTTATGTTTAAAGTCTTGGAGAGATCAGGGATACAAGGCACATACCTAAAGATAGTAAAGGCAATATACAGCAAGCCTATAGCCAACATCAAACTCAATGGAGAGAAACTTAAATCAATCCCACTGAAATCAGGGACAAGACAAGGCTGCCCACTCTCTCCATATCTCTTTAACATTGTACTTGAAGTCCTAGCCAGAGCAATAAGACAACTAAAGGAGATCAAGGGGATACAAATCGGAAAGGAAGAGGTCAAAGTGTCACTATTTGCAGATGATATGATAGTATACATGAGCGACCCCAAAGATTCAACCAGAGAACTTCTTCAGCTGATAAACACCTTCAGCAAAGTGGCAGGATACAAAATCAACTCAAAAAAATCAGAGGCCCTCTTGTATACCAAAGACAAAAAGGCTGAGAAAGAAATTAGGGAAACAACACCCTTCACAATAGCCACTAACAACATAAAGTACCTTGGTGTGACTCTAACCAAGCAAGTGAAAGACCTATTTGAGAAAAACTTCAAGTCTTTGAAGAAAGAAATTGAAGAAGATCTCAGAAGATGGAAAGATCTCCCGTGCTCATGGATTGGTAGGATTAACATTGTGAAAATGGCCATCCTGCCAAAAGCAATCTACAGATTCAATGCAATTCCCATCAAAATACCAACTCAATTCTTTACAGACCTTGAAAAAAAGATTCTCAGCTTCATATGGAGAAACAAAAAACCCAGAATCTCCAAAACGATCCTGTACAACAACAGATCATCTGGAGGTATCTCCATTCCCGATCTCAAGCTGTACTACAGGGCAACAGTAATAAAAACTGCATGGTATTGGCATAGAAACAGAAAGGAGGATCAATGGAATCGCATAGAAGACCCAGAAATAAACCCACACACCTATGAATTCTCAATATTTGACAAAGAAGCCAAATCCATTCAATGGAAAAAAGACAGCATCTTCAACAAATGGTGCTGGACCAACTGGATGTCTACATGCAGAAAAATGAAAATAGATCCATATCTATCACCCTGCACAAAACTAAAGTCCAAGTGGATCAAGGACCTCAACATAAAACCAGATACTCTAAATCAGCTGGAAAAAAAAGTGGGAAACAGCCTAGAATTCATTGGCACAGGAGACAACTTCCTGAACAGAACACCAACAGCACAGGCTCTAAGAGCAACAATCAATAAATGGGACCTCATTAAACTGAAAAGCTTCTGTAAAGCAAAAGACACTGTCATCAAAACAAATAGACAGCCTACAGATTGGGAAAGAATCTTCACCAACCCTTTATCTGACAGAGGGCTAATATCAAGTATATATAAAGAACTAAAGAAGCAGAAAAGCAACAAACCAAGTAATCTACTTAAAAAATGGGGAACAGAGCTAAACAGAGAATTCTCGAAAGAGGAACGTCGAATGGCAGAGAAACACTTAAAGAAATGCTCAACCTCATTAGCCATTAGGGAAATGCAAATCAAAACGACCCTGAGATATCACCTTACACCCATCAGAATGGCCAAGATGAAAAACTCAAGTGATAGCACATGCTGGAGAGGTTGTGGAGAAAAGGGAACCCTCCTCCATTGCTGGTGGGAATGTAAACTGGTTCAACCACTCTGGAAGTCAATCTGGCGCTTTCTCAGACAACTAGGAGTAGTGCTACCTCAAGACCCAGCTATACCACTCCTAGGTATATACCCAAAATTTGCTCAAGTACACAACAAGGACATTTGTTCAACCATGTTCATAGCAGCTTTATTTGTAATAGCCAGAACTTGGAAACAACCCAGATGTCCATCAACGGAGGAATGGATACAGAAACTGTGGTATTTTTACACAATGGAATACTACTCAGCAATCAAAAAGGAAGAAATCATGAAATTTGCAGGCAAGTGGTGGGATCTAGAAAAGATCATTCTGAGTGAAGTATCCCAGAAGGAGAAAGACAAACTTGGCATATACTCGCTTATATAGACCTACAAGACATGATAAACATAATGAAATCTACACACCTAAAGAAGATAATCAAGAAAGTGGACACAGGCGAAGGTGATTAATCCTCATTTAGAAAGACAAATGGGATGTGCATTGAACTTATGACAGGAGTCTATCACAAAAGGCATCTGAAAGACTCTACCTAGCAGTGTTTCAAAGCAGACACTAAGACTCATAACCAAACCCTCGGCAGAGTGCAGGGAATCATATGAAAGAAGGGAAGTTAGTATGATATGGAAAGGATAGGAGCTCCACAAGGACCAAATATATCTGGGCACAGGGTCTTTTCTGAGACTGACACTCAACCAAGGACCATCTATGGATATAACCTAGAACTTCTGCTCGGATGTGGCCTGTGGTAGCTCAGTAACCAAGTAGTTTTCCAAAGTAAGGGGAACACGGACTATTTCTAATAGGATCTCAAGGGCAGGCTGTTTGACCCCCACCCCAGGGGAGGAGCAGTCTGTTAGGCCACAGAGGAGGACTTTGCAGCCAGCCCTGAAGATACCTGATAAAACAGGGTCAGATGAAAGGGGAGGAGGTCCTCCCCTATCAGGGGACTTGGAAAGGGGCAGGGAGGAGACCAGGGAGGGAGTGTGGGGTTGGGGAGGGAATGAGGGAGCGGGATACAGCTGGGACACAGAGTTAACAAAATGTAACTAAAAAGAAAAATAAAATAAAAATAAAAAAATTAAATAATAAAAAAAAAAGAAGCTTAAATCCGTACACCTTCTTGGAGGACCAGGGGTAAGATGATCAATCCTCACTTAGAAAGACAAATGGGATGGACATTGGAAGAAGGAGAAAACAAGAAATGAGACAGGAGTCTACATTTGAGGTCCTCTGAAATACTCTACCTAGCAGTGTATCAAAGCAGATGCTGAGATTCAGAGTGCAGGCAATCGTATGAAAGAAGGGGGAGTTAGTAAAACCTGCTGAGGACAGGAGCTCCACAAGGAGAGCAACATAATCAAAATAGCTAGACACAGGGGTCTTTTCTGAGACTGATTCTCCAACCAAGGATCACGCATGGATATAATCTAGAACCTCTGCTCAGATGTACCCCATGACAGCTCAGTATCTAAGTGGGTTTTTTAGTAAGTGGAACAGGGACTGTCTCTGACATGGACTCAGAGGCTGGCTCTTTGATGCTCCCCCTTCCCCTGAGGGAGGAGTAGCCTTGCCAGGCCACTGAGAAGGACATTGCAGCCAGACCTGCTGAGACCTGATAGGCTAGGGTCAGATGGAATGGGAGGAGGACCTCCCCTATCAGTGGACTTAGAGAGGAGCATGTGAGGAAATGAGGGAGGGAGGGTAGGATTGGGAGGGGGAAAGAGAAGGGGCTACAGCTGGAATACAAAGCAAATAAGATGTAGTTAATGTAAAAAAATAAAAATTTAATTAAAAATAAAAATTAATTAAATTAATTTTTTTTAAAAAATCAAGTATTTTTTTAATTATGGTGGTATATGGAGAAATGATAGGGATATTTAACTATGCTTATATACTCAAAAAGAGTAAACCCCACTGTTCAAGATGTCGGGATTGATTGTGATATGAAATGAATACAATGATTTATAAGGGATAAAAGAGGACATTAGCAGTGTAGCATTCAAACCTCCAAATATAAAGAAGTATTGATGTATCAAGAAGGGCCATTAATTTTCCTGAAGTGAGAAGAAACATATTTTGGTGTGTGTCTGTGTGTGTGTGTGTGTGTGTGTGTGTGTGTGTGTGTGTGTGTGTGTAACAGGACTAATATTTGTATACTGTTTACATATATCATAGAAGTAAACATGTTAGACTTCAGCAGAGAACAGGCCAGGAAGACATGCATATATATTTTCATTTTAGACAGCATCATTTTGAGTGGTTATACCTACAATATTTCCATTTGGCCCTTTCTTTTTAATCTAGTAGGACTCTTTTGATGTAACCTCTTGGGATCAGCCTAAGTTGTTTCATATAAAAAGTTTCTTGCATCATCTTTTTATCCAATTTAGCCTAACCCCGCACTCTTGGCTGAAACCATAGTGCCTTTGGCTAATAAAGAAGATCTGCAAACATATTTTCTAGCTTGTTTTTGACCTAAGTACATGGGCTCAGATGGAAAAGTCAATGGAAGAAATAGCTTCTGAATCCCCAGTGGCAGGGGATAAGAAAACAGCAAAGATTAGGACTGATTACTGTGAGAGTCTCACTCAACAACAACGTTCAAAACGCACATGCTAACAAACACATGAACTAAGCATATATCTATTGCATTCTGTGTGATCTGCATCAAGCGGACACATGTGTTAATAGGATGTTCTCCGTGGTGTTTATTCTCTGGCTCTTTCAGATTCCCAGTCTTGTCTGTGCCTTTAACAACAATCAATGCTATTACCTAATAAGAGAAGATTTTCACCGTGAAGGAGATGTGGTGCTTGGTGCATTTTTCCCTGTTCATACTTATTACACCATCCAAGAAATTCCACATTCCCATCTAATTGGGTATTATGAGGACTATTACCTACAGTAAGTGCAATTATTCATTTTTAGAATTCACAATTCTTATGACTTAGGGGATATAGCTATTAAATTCTTACATATTCCTTATGGTTTTTACTGGACAATTTATCTTTTACAGTTTCTAAATCTTGTCAATTTTGTTTTCATTTTGGCCTCTATTCCTCTCTGAAAGGGAAATAAAATGGAAAATGTGATTTTCTTCATTTTAGTTTCCTCATTTGATTGCTAAGTGTAACCTCTCACATGCTTGTAATGCCAAAAGATTTGAATAGTTTTCAGTGTTAAGATTTCATAGGAATGATGCTTTCATTTAAACCTGACCTTGTCGATCAGGGAACGCAGTGATTCCTTGGTGCTCATTATTATGCTTATGTGAAGACACTCTCTTGTTTTACCTGACACTGAACCAGACTTAAGAATGTCACAGTTAAAAGTTGTGTATACTGCTGTGTTCTACAAAAATGTCCTTTATGCCATGCTTTTATATAAGTGTGTGCTTGCTAATTTCCTTCTTAATTCTCAGACAGATTTCCAGTCTTTTCCTGTTTTTTGCATCTCTTTGAAGTATTTCATCTCAATTTTATGGATGTGTTCATCAAAACACACTGACTATGAGAGTATCAACAGGGGGCTATTTTTTTAGCTTTTGTGAAGTATCATGCCTGTAAGGACACAAGGTCTCAACAGGTTTCAGCATTACAACTTCAGAGGAAGGATGCTTTAATTTAAGCCTGACACTGATACTCATGGATTTCCTGAAGTCCTGAAGTCTTTTGATATTTATTTGTGTTTCCCAAGTGTAGTGACTGTGAGGGATTCAACTTTGAACTATTTCTTAGCTTGTATAAAATATACATATAGAGAGTGTATTAAAGGTCTTACCGAATTAGAGAGAAATATTCTTGTATATTTCTTTTTTTAAGCTATATTTTTTAACTTTTATTAGTTACACTTTCTTCACTTTGTATCTCCCCATAAACTCCACCCTCCTCCCCTCCTAATCCCACCTTTCCTCACCCTTCTTCACGCATGCCCCTCCCCAAGTCCACTGATAGGGGAGGTCACCTATCAGTGGCCTATCTCCTTCCTTCTGAACTTAGTCTATCAGATCTCATCAGGAATGGATGCATTGTCATCTTCTGTGGCCTGGTAAGGCTGCTCCCCCCTCAGGTGGAGGTGATCAAAGAGCAGGCCAATCAGATTATGTCAGAGACAGTCCCTGTTTCCAATACTCTGGAACCCACTTGGACACTGAACTGCCATGGGCTACATCTGTGCAGGGGTGCTAGGTTATCTCCATGCATGGTTCGTGGATGGAGTATGAGTCTCTGGAAAGACCCCTGTGTTCAAATTTTCTGGAGTGCCTGTCCACTCCAGATCTTACTATTTCCCTCTTAGATAAGATTGCATGCACTCTGCCCAGCAATTGTCCATAAATCTCGGGATCTGCTTTGATAGTCTGCAGGGAAGAGCCTTTCAGAGACCCTCTTGTGGCAGGCTCCTAAATTTTTTCCTGTTTTCTTCTTCTGATGTCCATCCTCTTTCCTTTCAGGATGGGGATTGAGCATTTTAGTCAGGGCCCTCCCTATTGATTAGTTTCTTTAGATGTACAGATTTTAGTAGGTTTATCCTATACTATATGTCTATATGAATGAGTATATGCCGTGTGTCTTTCTGCTTGTGGGACAGCTCACTCAGGATGATCCTTTCCAGGTCCAACCATTTACCTCCAAATTTCATGATTTCCTTGTTTTTCATTGCTGAGTAATATTCCATTGTATAGATGTACCACAATTTCTGTATTCATTCTTCAGTTGAGGGGCATCTGGGTTGTTTCCAGCCTATGGCTATTACAAATAAAGCTGATACAATGGTTGAGCAAATGTCCTTAATGTGTACTTGAGTCTCTTTTGGATATATGCCTAGGAGTGGTATGGCTGGATCTTGAGGAACTGCTATTTCTATTTGTCTTGGAAAGCACCAGATTGATATCCAGAGTGGTTGTACAAGTTTATATTTCCACGAGAAGTGGAGAAATGTTCACATTTCTCCACAACCTCTCCAGCATGTGTTTTCACTTGAGTTTTTGATCTTGTCCATTCTGATGGGTGTGAAGTGAAATCTCAGGGTAGTTTTAATTTGCATTTCCCAGATGGCTAATGAGGTTGAGCATTTCTTTAAGTGTTTCTCTGTCAATCTATATTCCTCTATTGAGAACTCTGTTTAACTCTGTTCCCCATTTTTTAATTGGATTACTTGGTTTGCTGCTTTTCAGCTTCTTTAGTTCTTTATATATACTGGATATTAGCCCTCTGTCAGATAAAGGGTTGGTGAAGATTCTTTCCCAATCTATAGACATTTGTTTTGTTTTGATGACTATGTCCTTTGCTTTACAAAAGCTTTTCAGTTTAATGAGGTCCCATTTATTGATTGTTGCTATTAGAGCCTGTGCTGTTGGTGTTCTGTTCAGGAAGTTGTCTCCTGTATCAATGAGTTCTAGGATCTTCCCCACTTTTTCTTCTAACCGATTTAATGTGTCTGACTTTATGTTGAGGTCTTTGATCCACTTGGACTTTAGTTTAGTGTAGGGTGATGAATATGAATCTATTTCATTTTACTACATGTAGATATCCAGTTAGACCAGCACCATTTGTTGATGCTATCTTTTTTCCATTGTATTGTTTTGGCATCTTTGTCTAAGATCAGGTGTCCATAAGTGTGTGGGTTTATTTCTGGGTTTTCTGTTCAGTTCCATTGACCCAACATTCTTTTCCTATGCCAGTACCATGCAGTTTTTATTACTGTTACTCTATAGTACAGCTTAAGATCAGAGATGGAGATACCTCCAGAAGATCTTTTATTGTAGAGGATTGTTTCAGCAATTCTGGGTTTCTTGTTATTCTATATAAGGTTGAGAATTTTTTTTCCAGGTCTGTAAAGAATTGTGTTGGCAATTTGATGGGAATTGCATTGAATCTGTAGATTGCTTTTGATAAGATGGCCATTTTTACCATGTTAATCCTGCCAAGCCATGAGTATGGGAGATCTTTCCATCTTCTGATAACTTCTTCTAATTCTTTTTTCAGAGACTTGAAATGTTTTTCATACAAGTCTTTGACTTGATTGGTTAGGGTTACACCAAGACACTTTATGTTCTTTGTGGCTATTGTGAAGGGTATTTTTTTCCCTAATTTCCTTTTCAGCCCTTTTGTCTTTTGAATACAGTAGGGCTACTGATTTTTTGAATTAATTTTGTATCTGGCCACTTTGCTGAAGGTGTTTATCAGCTCTATGAGTTCCCTGGTAAAGTTTTTGGGGTCACTCAGGTATACTATCATATCATCTGCAAATAGTGATTTGACTTCTTCCTTTCCAATTTGTATCCCCTTGATCTCCTTCACCTGTCTTATTACTCTAGCAAGGACTTCAAGAACTCTGCTGAAGAGATAGGGAGAGAGTGGGTAGCCTTGCCTTGTCTCTGGTTTCAGTGGGATTGATTTAAGTTTCTCTTCGTTTAGTTTGATGTTGGCTATAGGCTTGCTGCATATTGCCTTTACTATGTTTAGATATGTGTCTTGTATCCCTGATCTCTCCAATACTTTAAACATGAATGGATGTTGGATTTTGTCAAATGCTTTTTCAGCATCTAGGGAGATTATCATGTGGTCTTTTTCTTTCAGTTTGTTAATATGGTGGATCACATTGATGGATTTCCATATATTGAACCACCCCTGCATACCTGGGATGAAGCCTAATTGGTCATAGTGGATCATATATTTAATGTGTTCTTGTATTCGGTTTGCAAGTATTTTGTTGAGTATTTTTGCATCAATGTTCATAAGGCAGATTGGCCTGAAATTCTCTTTCTTTGTTGGGTCTTTGTGAGGTGTATGTACGAAGGTGACTCTGGCTTCATAGAATGAGTTTGGTAGTGTTTCCTCTATTTCTATTTTGTGGAATATTTTGAAAAGAACTAGAGTTAGTTCTTCTTTGAAGTTCTGGTAGAATTCAGTGCTGAAACCATCTGGACCTGGGCTGTTTTTGGATGGGAGTCTTTCGATGACTGCTTCTCTTTCCTTGAGGGATATAGGACTATTTAATTGATTTACCTGGTCTTGATTCAGCTTTCGTAAGTGGAACCTATCAAGAAAATTGTTCATTTCATTTAGATTTTCAAATTTTGTGGCATATAGACTTTTGAAGTAAGTCCTAATGATTGTTTGGATTTCCTCAGTGTCTGCAGTTATGTCCCTCTTTTCATTTCTGATTTTGTTGATTTGGATGGTGTCTCTCTGCCTTTTAGTTAATTTGGCTAAGGGTTTGTCTATATTGTTGATTTTCTCAAAAACCAGCTCTTGGTTTTGTTGATTCTTTGAATTGTTTTATTTATTTCTAATTGATTGATTTCAGTCCTGAGTGTGTTTATTTCCAGCCATCTACTCCATTTTGGTGTGTCTGCTTCTTATTTTTCTAGGGTTTTTAGGTGAGCCATTAACTTACTTTAATGAGCTGTCTCGAGTTTCTTCTTGAAGGCACTTATTGCTATGAACTTTCCTCTTAGCACTGCTTTCATTGTGTCCCACAAATTTGGGTATGTTGTGTCTTCATTTTCATTGAATTCTAGAAGACTTTAATTTCTTTCTTTATTTCTTCCCTGACCCAGCTGTCATTTAGTAGCAAGTTGTTCAGTTTCCATGTGTGTGTAGGCTTTTTGCTATTTCTGTTGTTGTTGTTGTTGAGGTCCAGTTTTATTCCACGGTGATCATATAGGATACAAGGGATTATTTCAATCTTCTTGTATTTTTTGAGGCTCGCTTTGTGACCAACCATATGGTCTATTTTTGAGAAGGTTCCATGAGGTGCTGAGAAGAAGGTAAATTCTTTTGTGTTTGGGTGTTAGGTCCATTTGATTCATGACCTCTGTTAGAGACATTGTTTCTTTGTTTAATTTCTGTTTTGCTGACCTGTCCTTTGTTGAGAGTCGGGTGTTGAAGTCTCCCACTATT